GCCTTTATTCATTTGCCGTCGGGGGGTTGAGGGGGTCGTTGGTACAGGAAGCTTCCTCTCTCTGGATGGCCACGGGGCGTGCCAGGGGCGGGAGTTTGGCCATGTCAACTCTGCTGGTTGGGGTAGACAGATAGGGGTTGGAGGGGCCTGCCGTCAGGGCCCACCTGTGCGGTAAGGGTGTGGCAAGGACTCACCCCACCCTTGCTGCTGGCGGCTCCTGGCTCCCAGCTCCAGATAACTTGCTGCCTGCCACCCTGGTTCTGTGCGGGGGCCTCACTTTTCTTTTCTTTATTCTTTCTTTCTTTTCTTCTTTTTTTTGAGACAGAGTCTCGCTCTGTCTCCCAGGCTGGAGTGCGGTGGCATGATCTCTGCTAACTGCAACCTCTGCCTCCCAGGTTCAAGCAGTTCTCTGCCTCAGCCTCCCAAGTAGCGGGGATTATAGGCACCCGCCACCACACCTGGCTAATTTTTGTATTTTTAGTAGAGGCAGCGTTTCACCATGTTGGCCAGGCTGGTCTTGAACTCCTGACCTCGTGATTTGCCCGCTTTGACCTCCCAAAGTGCTGGGATTACAGGCGTGAGCCACTGCGCCCAGCTTTTTTTTTTTTTTTTTTTGAAACAGGGTCTTGCTCTGTCACCCAGGCTGAAGGGCAGTGGCCCCGTCTTGGCTCACTGTAGCCTTGACCTCCTGGGCTCAAGTGATCCTCCCACCTCGGCCTCCCACAGGCTGGGATTATAGGCGTGAGCTATAGCACTCGGCCAGTTTCTCTTTTCATTTACTCTTCAGAACACTGAGACCTCTGCCTGGCATTGGGGGGTGGGCAGGGTGTCTGTGGGCAGCGGGTCCCACCGAGGGTCCGAGGGCAGCAGGTGCCCTGCAGGGCAGGAACCTGTGCCTGGCACCCACCCATGTGCCAGCCGGCAGGAGAAGCCAGGCTCACACTGAGTTGGGATAAACCTAACATTTATCGGGAACTTGATCACTTGAACGTGATGTGAGAAAAACGTGTGCTTTCAGCACAAGACCCAGGACCTGCCCTGTGGGCACCCACTCTGCCTCATTCGTACTGTGGTCCAGAGGGCCCCAGGGAGCAGCTGCGGAAGCAGCGGGGCTTGGGGCTCTGGCCCCTGCTCTGGCCCTGGGTGCCCACCGCCTTCCCCCCGGGGTGCTGGCCTTGCCCTCTGTGGGTCAGAGCACACTGTGCCAGGCACCAGTGCAGTTAAGAGGTCCAAGGGTGGGACGTACAGGGTTCCAAGCAGGTCCTTTGGATGGCCGCTGGCAGAGGCCCTGGGAATTTGGGAATGGCCACTGGCTCACCTGTGTCCTCCCCAACACCGGGCTCACCTGTGGGACTTCATGTGTCTTCCCCAGCACCTGGCTCACCTGTGAGACTTCATGTGTCCTTCCCAGCACCTGGCTCACTTGTGGGACTGGGCTGTGTCACAGGGGTAGAGGTGCCCAAGACCATGGGAACCCACCTGTTGCATCAGCGTGACCTGGATGTGAGACGGGTGTCAAGCGAGATCATTTTCAAGCTTTAAAATTTGACTGCCCTGCTGGATTTCTGACTGGCCTGGGCCGTGTAACTCCTTTGTTTTGGCCACTGTCTTCCATTTGGAATCTTTTTGTTTGTTTGTTTTGTTTTGTTTTGAGACCGAGTTTCACTCTTGTTGCCCAGGCTGGAGTGCAGTGGCAGGATCTTGGCTGACTGCAACCTCTGCCTCCCGGGTTCAAGCAGTTCTCCTGCCTCAGCCTCCTGAGTAGCTGAGGGGCCTGCTTTGGCCTCCCAAAGTGTGGGGATTGCAGACATGAGCCACTGCGCCCGACTCAGAACGCTTGTATTTATGGAATGCCTGTACCCTCATTGTATCTCGGAAGTAACTAACTTGCTTTTGATTTTACAGCCTCCTAGGCAGAAGGGACTCGCCTTGTCTCAGATTAGACTTTGGGCTAGACTTTCGGGTTAATGCTGAAATAAATGAAGACGTCGGGGGAATGTTGGGAAGGCGTGATTGGTTTTGAAACGTGAGGACATGAGATTTTCAGGGGCTACAGTGGGATGGTATGGTTTGGCTGAGTCCCAAATCTCCACTTGGATTCTATCTCCCAGAATTCCCACGCGCTGTGGGCGGGACCCAGGGGGAGGTAATGGAATCATGAGGACCCGTTTTTCCCGTGCTGTTCTTGTGATAGTGAATAAGTCTCATGAGATCTGATGGGTTTATCAGGGGTTTCTGCTTTTGCTTCTTCCTCATTTTTTCTTTCTTTCTTTTTTTTTGAGACAGAGTCCTGCTCTGTTGCCCAGGCTGGAGTGCAGTGGCACAGTCTCAGCTCACTGCAACCCCTGCTTCAGCGTCCTGAGTAGCTGGGATTACAGGTGCCACCACCACGCCTGGCTAATTTTGTATTTTTAGTAGAGACGGGGTTTCACCGTGTTGGTCAGGCTGGTCACAAACTCCTGACCCCAGGTGATCCTCCTAGCTCGGCCTCCCAAAGTGCTGGGACTACAGGTGTGAGCCACCACGCCCAGCCCTCATTTTCTGTTGCTGCCACCATGTAGGAAGTGCCTTTCACCTCCTGCCATGATTCTGAAGCCTCCCTAGCCATGTGGAACTGTAAGTGAAGCAAGCTCTTTTCCCTCAGCCTCCTGAGTAGCTGGGACCACAGGTGTGAGCCCCATGCCCAGCTGATGTTTAATTCTTTGGTGCAGAGTTTCATCATGTTGCCTAGGGTGGTCTTGAACTCCTGGGCTCAAGCAATCCTGCCGCCTCAGCCTCCCAAATTGCGCCTGGCCTCCTGTAACTCTTGGAACGTCTTTTCTGCTCATTCCTGAGCACGGCTGCAATCACTGCGTTAGTCTTTGCTAACACCAACAACTCTGAGGGCTGCCTTGAAGCTGCTTTCTGTTCTCTGTTTTTCGTGTTTCTCCGCTTGATTGTGGGTCATATTTTCTTGTTTCTTTTTAGGTCTCGTGGTTTTTGTTAGGCACAAAATCATCCGTCCGTGGTAGACACTCTGGATTTAGGTATCATCCTCTGAAGAGCGTTGTTTTTGCCTCCGGTGGCTGTTCAGCTTCTGGCCAGGGTCCTTGAACCTGGGCTTGTGTCTTCACGTTTTGTCAGCGGCTCTTCACAGAGCCCAGGACACAGGTCAAGCCCCCTGAGCTGGGCGGACCTGCCCTCCCCCCCGGAGGCTTCCCAGGGGCCATGGAGGGGATCCGGCAGGGGCTCTGCAGCCAGCCCTCCTCCGCGCGGTCCTCGGCTGTGGCCGTCCTGGGCCCCGCTGTGTTGGTGGGGGGGGCCCTCCTCGTGTCTGGGCTGGCCGCCCCCGGTGTCGCCATCGTATTCTCCGCGCTGGGGCTGAGCGTCCTGGGAGCCTGGGGTCCTCCCGCCGCGCACCCTGCAGGTGCGGCCCCCTCGGCTTGGCGGGCTCGGGCGTGGGGCGCCGCGGTCCTGGGGCCGCCCTGGGTGGGGGAAACGCGGCCGCACGCTGCCAGAAACGTCCGAAGATCTGTCATCCACGTTTGAGCCGTTTGCGAAGGGAGAGCAGCAGCCGCGCCCCACGAGAGCGGGGTCCGGTCTCAGCACTTTGGGAGGCCAAGGAGGGCGGATCACGAGGTCAGGAGTTCGAGACCAGCCTGACCAACATGACGAAACCCCGTCTCTAGTAAAAATTAGCTGGGTGTGGTGGCAGGTGCCTGTAGTCCCAGCTACTCGGGAGGCTGAGGCAGGAGAATCGCTCGAACCCAGGAGGCGGAGGTTGTGGTGAGCTGAGATTCTGCCACTGCATTCTAGCCTGGGCGACAGAGTGAGACTCCATCTCAGAAAAAAAAGGGGTGTGGTGGCTCACACCTGTAATCCCAGAGCTTTGAGAGGATGAGGCGGGCGGATTACGAGGTCAGGAGTTCAAGACCAGCCTGGCCAACTTGGTGAAACCCTGCCTCTACGAAAAATACAAAAAAATTAGCCAGGCGTAGTGGCGGGTGCCTGTAATCCCAGATACTTGGGAGGCTGAGGCAGGAGAATCACCTGAACCTCGGAGGCAGAGGATGCAATGAGCTGAGATTGTGCCACTGCACTCCAGCCTGGACGACAGTGTGAGACTCCGTCTAAAAAAGAACAACCAAACAAAAAACAAGGCGGGCACGGTGGCTCATGCCTGTAATCTCAGCACTTTGGGAGGTAGAAGCAGATGGATCACCTGAGGTCAGGAGTTCGAGACCAGCCTGGTCACCATGGTGAAATCCCGTTTCTACTAAAAATACAAAAAATTAGCTGGGTATGTTGGCGGGCACCTGTAATCCCAGCTACTCAGGAGGCTGAGGCAGGAGAATTGCTTGAACCCAGGAGGCGGAGGTTGCGGTGAGCCAAGATCGTACCTCTGCATTCCAGCCTGGGTGTCTCAGCAAGACTGTCTCAAAACGAAAAAAACAAAAAACAAAAAATACCATGGGGGAGCCTGCAGTTTGCCTGGGATGGGAGCTGCCTGCGGCCGCAGGGACCCTAATGGAGCTATGTGCTGGGTCGGCCTTGAGGGCGTCACTCTGAGGTCCCTGGTCCTGCAGGGGCAGCGGGTCCCACGGCGCCCTTGCCCTCTGGGGGAGAACACCTCCCTCCCGTGCGGCTCCCCCAGCGGCAGGACACACAGCCGGAGGGGGACGTGGTGAGGGGGGTCACACTGTCCTGAAGAACAGGCCCCTCTGCACACCCGAGAGGGTCTGTCTACCAAGCCTTCCCAGGGCCCCTCCCACCCCCTGCCCTCCCTGCTGAAAGCTGGGGCGGCTTGGCGTGGAACTAGAACACAGGGTCCAAACTTGGCAGCCGTCATCCCAGACAGGTGAGGAGAGTGGAGCCACCCACTATGCTCAGCAACTGGGGATACCACCTGGGGCACCCCAAGGCACCAGGTCCCTCCACCATCTCTGGGGGCCGCGGACACAGGCTGCTTGTTGGAGTGGGCTCTACATTCAGAGACCCCACCCGTCTGTCCATTTCTGCAGATCCTCCTTAGCTGCAGTCCCAAGGATGGACCCAGGAGACCCTGCTGGTGACCCTGCCGCTGGCACGCGCCGCTGCACAGGTGAGTCTGAGCCGGATGGTGCCTAGTCTCCTTGGGACTGTAGGGGGAGGTGCGTCGGGGTGCTTGGCGGGGAAGTGTCACCCACTCTGTACTCGGTGACGAGGTCCTGGCTGCTGATCCCCAGCTGTGGGCCTCTCTACCATGTCCACGGCGTGGGACCCTGTGAGTCTGGAGGCCCTGCCGTGGCCTTGCGGTTCTCATGGGTTCTCAAGACAGCTCGGGCCCCAGTGTGGGTGGCCTGGCGCCAGGCCTGTGACAGCATCCCGAGGGAGGTGGCGGTGACAGTGCAGCGGCTCAGGGCTGGCCACTGAGGAGGAGCTCTGGGCCCCTGTGTCCCTCGGGATTCGAGGCGGAGGGCCGAAACCCCCTCAGGTGCTTAGCACTGCCTCCTGGGGTTCCAGGAAGCTGCAGCTTCTTGGGTGGCCCTCAGTGCTCCAAGTTTTGTAAATGGAGCCATTTTTCATCCCTTGAGTTAAGAGCATCTGCTCTCCCAACACCTTCCAGGTCAGAGAGAGAAATGAGAAGTGCCTTCTCCCATGGACAAAGTGGGGGAGCTGCATCCCTGCGTAGCCCGAGGGGAGGTGCCCCCCAGGGCGCAGGACTCCACCCGGCCTCCCTCCCTGCCACTCCTGCAAACCCAGACTCTGCAAGATGGGGGCTGGGTTGGGGTTGGAGAGACAGAAGCTGGGAGGGAGCGGGGCCTGGGAGGGAGTGGAGGCTGGGGGGAGCGGAGGCTGTCTGGTGCCAGGGGGTCAGCCAGAGCCCCAGACTCTGCTCTCTGTGCCTGAGCCAGGCCGGGTGGAAGCCTCCTGGGAGGGGCTCAGCTGGGCCCCGATGGGAGAGTCTGGGGTGGGGCTTTGTGGGCTGGGAGGGAGCCTGGCCTGACTGCCTTGCCCTGGGCTGTAGACCCCTGGTTTGTTGTAGGTTTACTGCCTTTTCACTCGCCACCCCTGGCCTCTGCCCAGGCCCACCCTACACACGCCCCTCCATGGGGCAGGGCCACAGCCCTCTCCCCTGTGAAAGCCCTGCTCCCATGTGGCAGTGGCCAAAGCTCTTTGCCTCAGTTTCCCTATCCCATGAGGCTGCCCCCTCTAACCTGGGACCCCTCCGGGGGCTTTCTATCTGCCTTTCTCTTCTGCGTTCCTGGCTCGGCTCATGCTGAGGACGATGGCGGTGCCCCAGGCACGTCACCTTCCCTGAGGTAGCCAGGCCGAAGCATCCCAGGGGAGGACCGCCTCTGAGCTGGGCGGGGCTGGTGTGGATGCCACCCCTCTGCAGGCACAGCCCTGTCCATCCTGTGCGGCGCCGACCACCCACCTGGCCCTCTCAGGATGGGCCCAGACCCTTCACCTTTCCTCCTCTGAGGCCCTCTGTGGGCTCTAGGCCAGCACCTTTGTGGGATGAGGCCCTGTTACCTCCCCTGGAGGCCGCCCTGGGGGCCGGGGAGCACCCAGCAGCTGGGCTTCACCTTGGCACAGAGCTGGCTCCCTGCACAGGCGGCCATGGCATCTACAGCCCTTTCTCCACCTGAGCAGAGTGGGATGTGTTCAGAGTGTACCACCAGTGGCACCACTGAGGAATAGCCTCTGCCTTCCTGGAATAGTCATAGCGCTCCAGACACGGCACTCCCTGGAACAGCCTGGTGTTCTCTGGAACAGACACGGTAACCCCTGGAACAGTCTCAGGGCTCCCTGGAACAGCCTCAGCACTCCCTGAAATGCTCTCAGCACTCCTTGGAACAGACATGGCCTCCTCGGAATAGACACGGCACTCCCTGGAACCCTCTCAGCACTCCCTGGAACAGACACGATGCTCCCAATCAGACACGGTGCTCCTGGAACAGCCTCGGCACCCCCTGGAACAGACAGAGCTCCTGGGAACAGTCTCGGGGCTCCCTGGAACAGCCTCGGCCCTCCCTGAAATGCTCTCAGCACTACCTGGAACAGACACGGCGCCCCCTGGAACAGCCTCGGCACTCCCTGGAACAGACATGGCCTCCCCGGAATAGACACGGCGCTCCTGGAATGGACACACCACTCCCTGGAACAGACACGGCACCCCCTGTAACAGGCATGGTGCTCCCTGGGACAGCCTTGGTGCTCTCTGGAACAGACATGGAGCTTCCTAGAACAGCAACCCCTGGAACAGAGATGGCTCCCTGGAAGACACAGCACTCCCTGGAACAGCCTCGGTGCTCTTTGGAACAGGCTGGTGCCTAGAATGGCCACATCCCCCCACCCTCCCTGTGCCACTTCAGGCACCTGCCCTGATGTGGTGTGTCCGACTCTGTCAACAAGGCCAGCCCCACCAGAGGCCCCAGCTCAGCCTCCCCAGCAGGCTCTTCTACTGAGGCTCTGGGTCAGCCTCTTCCTGGGAGCTGTCCTGGCCCCTGTGCTGGCCCAGCCTCACTGCCTGTTCACCGTCTGTGCTGTGCCGGCCACTGGGCAGGGCCATCCTGTCTGTGGCCCCCGGGACCGTGCCCCGGACAGTGGGCCTGGGTTTGTCCTGGACTTCCTTTTAAGATAGAGTGCCTGGGTCTGGGTCATTGGAGGAGCGTCTCTGTGGCCACCTGTGGCCTGTTCTGGAGAGGCCCTCCTGGGCTGGGCCAGGGGGGTGTCATCAGGGGACAGGAGAGGGGCGCCGAGCTCCTTGCTCCCTCCCCAAGGCCAAAAAACATTCTCCTTCTGAATGTCCATGGCACTCACAGATTCCTTTCCTCCTAAAGCTTCAGCCTTTGGTGAGCAGGCAGAGCTGAGGTCAGGAAGGCCACGTCGCCCGTGTCCACCTGGTTCCGGGTTTCCCGGTTGCTGGAGCTTGAGCCTTTCTTGGGAAATTCAGAGTCCCGCAGACAGCGTGAAATTGCGGCTCAGCACTGAGGAAGCAGGCCCTGCCCTCTGGCGGATGCAGCAGCCCCAGGATGCTGTCCTGGGTCCCCTCTGCCTCCCCGTCGCGCTGGGCTCCAGCAGCTGAGGCTGCCCAGCTGCCCGTAGGAGCCCCTGCCCTGAGCCTGGGCCTGCTGCTGCCTGGGGCCGGAGCTGTGGCCAGCCCCACATCCAGCATCCACACTCCAGGCAGGGGCTCCTCAGCACCCGCCCGGGGTGGACACGGCGGTGGACAGGCAGAGCCCGCAGGAGAGGCCGCTTCTTCCGTGAAGGCCGACGTCGAGGGGCTCCGGGATGAACGCATGTTGCGCACCGTGAACGTGCAGGTTCCTGGAGGCGCCTTCCTCTTCAAAGCCTCACTGTGCGCTGTGGCCGGGGGTGGGTGGGGGACGCCTGAGGACGGTGGCGGCTGAGGCCCCACTGGGGGGCGGGAAGGAGAAGCTGCCAAGGCCGCCTGCCGTCTCCGCCCTCCACGGGCGCCCCAGAGGTGTAGGCACCACCCGCCTACAGGACCTGGGGACGGGTCGTCGCAGTCCCACGCCGGGGTCACAGGCACTTTTCCACAGCCTCTAGGCCGCCCTCACCGTGTCCCCAACCCCTGTCCTCAGTGCCCGCTGGCCTTGAGCCGGCCCCGAGGCTCCCCTGAAGGAGGCTGAGCTGGCCTGGCCCGGGCCTGCCCAGGTGCGGCTGGCAGGGCGGTGGGGCTTTCTCTGCCCCCAAGGCTGCGGAGCCAACCTTGGGCTGTGACTTGAGGGAGACAGGAGGGAGGTCACAGCTGGCCTCATAAAACCGTGAAAACAGGCCCCACACTGCAGCCAGCAGAGAGGCCTCACCTTCCTCACTGTGTGGCGGGCCATGTCACGGAGCTCGCCGAGCGATGATTCTAACACCAAGACTGCGCTTCATTTCTTTGTGAATATTCAAAGAGTTCATTTATGTAAAACACCGAGAACATGCTGCCGTCTTTCTCTTATTTATTTGTGTAATTTTTATTTTTTATTTTTATTCTATCTATTTATTTATTTATTTTGAGATGGAGTCTCGCTCTGTCACCAGGCTGGAGCGCAGTGGCACGATCTCAGCTCACTGCAACCTCCGACTCCTGTGTTCAAGCGATTCTCCTGCCTCAGCCTCCCGAGTAGCTGGGACTACAGGCATGTGCCACCATGTCCAGCTAATTTTTATATTTTTAGTGGAGGCAGGGTTTCACCATGTTGGCAAGATGGTCTCAAACTGGTGACCTCGTGATTTGCCCACCTCAGCCTTCCAAAGTGCTGGGATTATGGGTGTGGGCCACTGTGCCCAGCCAATCCGATTGTCTTTTTGTCTTTTTTTTTTTTTTTTTTGAGACGGAGTTTCGCTCTTGTTACCCAGGCTGGAGTGCAACGGCGCGATCTCGACTCACTGAAACCTCTGCCTCCTGGGTTCAAGCAATTCTCCTGCCTCAGCATCCTGAGTAGCTGGGATTACAGGCACGCGCCACCATGCCGAGCTAATTTTTTGTATTTTTAGTAGAGACGGAGTTTTACCATGTTGACCAGGATGGTCTCGATCTCTTGACCTCGTGATCCACCCGCCTCGGCCTCCCAAAGTGCTGGGATTACAGGCTTGAGCCACCTAGCTCGGCCTCTTTTTTTCTTTTTTTTGACGCAGTCTTGCTCTGTCACCCAGACTGGAGTGCAGTGGTGCGATCTCAGCTCACTGCAACCCCCACCTCCCGGGTTCAAGTGATTCTCCTGCCTCAGCCTCCTGAGTAGTTGGGATGACAGGCAGTCACCACCACGCCTGGCTAATTTTCGCATTTTCAGTAGACATACAGTTTCTGCACGTTGGCCAGGCAGGTCTCAAACCCCCAGCCTCAGGTGATCTGCCCACTTCGGCCTCCAAAAGAGCTGGGTTTACAGGCGTGAGCCACTATGCCTGGCCTGTTCACTTTTTAAAAACAGGCCCATCATCTTCAAGACTCCTGTTGTAGGTAGGATCTTTTTCCCAGCAGATTTTCTGACCTGCGGTTGCAGAATGAGATCTGGAGACCTCTCTGTCCCTCTCTGCATGGCATCCATCTCCTGCACCCTGGGCTGGTATCGTCCTCTCCCTCTCTGCCTCTCTGTGGGGTAC